TTTTACTTTTGAAAACCATAAAAGATTTAGACCTACTATCTCCTGCTTCATAACTTTTTGTGAAGCGTGTGACTGTTTCCTTTTTTATATGAAATAAGTTTTTTTTTCGCTTTAAAGTCGTTTAGTGACTGTTCACGTTTTGATTGGTCAACCACGCGTTTCGCACTTTCATACACCCTTCTCATACTTATGCGATACAAGATGTTGTCCGATTGTTTGATCTAGGCGGGAAAAGCTTGGGATTATTCCTGATTTATTTTCGTTATGTGCAAACGGCAGAACGATGGTGTCATGGTTGCGCTACCTACGTGATAACGGCTTTCCCCCAATAGAGAAATGTGTTGAGAAATAATGCTGTGCTTTATTTTATAGTAATGTTTCTTAACCAATAATAAACTTCTCCTGACTTATGTCCCCTAAACATCATCGGCTTTCATTTCTATACCAATGATGTATAGAGTTTTTGTAAAGTTCAACAAGTTTTAACTCACCTTGAAAAAGAAGAAAAATAAGGAGAAAATATGTTTAGACAAGGTGAAATGCTTGTGCTTTACTTAACATTGAGCAAAACCACTATTCTTCTTGTTTAGCTGACATGCCATAAACTTTACTCACTGATGTCTTCTCTTCCTCTCTCTCCCCATCTCATTGCCCCTCCTCTTTCTTCTCCTTTGATTCGGAAAACCTCGAGATAAATCAGGACTCGAAAGCTTTTCTCATTACTGAAATTATCTATAACAGAAAGATATAACAGATTATGGTTGGAACTTTTTCAGACAGCCTCCGCTCTTGTCTACCTCCATAATCGAAAAATTGTGCACAGAGATGTTAAAGCAGAGAATTTATTGTTATTCAATAAAAAACAGGTAGGTACACATTTTGTTGTACGCATAGCTCAATACCTTTAAATGTTTGGAAACTATTTTGGGGTTATATGTCTAGGTACAATTATGTGATTTTGGACTAGCATGCACTGTACTTGGCCCTCTCTACAGGGTATGTGGCACACCCAGCTACTGTGCTCCAGAAATCATTCGGGAAACAGGTAAGCTCCTTGAAATTTCACGGGCAATTGATTTGTTCAGGTAAAAAAGGACTTATTTGTTAATCATCCAAGGAAACCAACCATAGTGTCATTTCTAGGTTACGGCCTACCAGTGGACGTCTGGTCTCTGGGTATTTTGCTTCATGTGATGCTTGTTGGATTCGCTCCATTCCGAGCTAATGAACGTAGTCGACTGTTTCGCTTAATCACTCAGGGCAGACTGTATTTCGACTTGCCGGAGTGGAGAGATGTCTCGGAAAGTGAGTTATCCCCTTAAACATTCACGCCAAAATCATTTTACTAAAATAGGCCTTTATGGAAATTCTTTCCACAAAGAAATTTTAGAAACCTAGTACTACAGATTGCATGAGAATTTCCCACCTCACTGATAGCAAATCCTGCAGCCTTTACGTATTGATTTCCTTGTAAAGTTCAATAATATCAATAGTGGCAAAACTATTTTAGATAGCAAAATCATTTTTTAGAAGCCCGTGAACTCCTAACTGGAATGATTTGTACTGTAACTGAGAAACGCTACACAGCCGCTGAAGTCCTCTCACATCAATGGATTACACAATACGATTCGGCAAAATGAGATTCTCCTTTTTTCTCAGTTTCCACCTTTATTTCTTAAGACCCATGACATCAGAACATCACGGGATTCACTTGCACCGGTGTACTCTTGACTTTAAAGAGAGGTTTACTTTATCGCAAATTGAAAATTGAAATTTAATTTTTATTAGCATAATCTGCGGGGGCATTTTCAGAAAAGTTAGGTAAAACATGATGTGGGACCTTTATAGGTAAAGTTTTAATGTATCCTTTGTATACTCATTTTTTATTAATTTAATTTCTTTTAAAAATCTCCTGTAGCAGATAACGTTTACTTTTTCTATTTCTTAAGGTTTCCAGTAGTGAGATAACGCACGTAAAATTGACTCGCTACCGTATTGTATATCTCAGAGAAATTCTTAAAAGTGTAATATATGCTGCTGTACAAATAGCTGTCAATTTTCTCACACATTTGCCCGTTTATGCCATTTGCCACCCATTTCGCTCCGGTTCTATATGGCGCTAGCATCTAATACCTGCCATTTTTTACTAATACAGGGACCATTCCTTTCATGAATGTTCACTTATTACTAAGGCGTTTTGTGGAATTGCATTTTTATCCGATTATTTTTCTTGACGGTTTTTTAATGTGTAAAGAGCTGTATCATCAATTCTTTGTATGTACCGAATTGAATAAATGTGATTGTGAGGTATATGTCCCTAAAACATTTCTCTGAAGTTTATAACAAAATTTCTGCTTTTTTTAGAGAGATTTGTGTTAGAGTGATCACTTGAGAAAATTACCGTTAGAATTCCTGCATTACGAGATCTGCA